AAAAAAAAAAAAATAAATAATTAAAAAAAAAAAATAATTTTTTTTTTTTTTACTTTCATTAGAATTCGAAATTGGGAAACCGACAATAAGGAACCATTTTTTTCCTTATTTCAAACTTCGATTGGGAGTGTGGCTACGCTATAACTGCCAACAAGAAAAGGATATGCTTCACAAGAAAGGCTGCAATTCAGGCAGTTGATGCCTACAGGAAACGTAGAGGATGGGCATTTGATTCAATCCACTTGTTGAAACAAGGAATTATTTTGGTAATTTTAATGTTTTATTATTTTATAGTAATTTTAGAATTTTCCCTTTAAGTTAGTTTTCTTTATTATAGTTTTTCAATTCTTATATTAGAATTTTTATTATGGTAGTTTGATATTTCCTTATAGAATAAGGATTTTATTTCAATGTATGAATAAAATCACCAAGGTTTTCTTAAAGATGAGACATTATGAAATGTAAATTTGAGTGTTATCAATTATTTATCCAAATTCTCGTATATTATTGAATTAACAAGTTTTTGATGCCTAACTTTCTAAAATTCTCGATATATTATTACCTTTCGTGGACCAATCTTTGCTTGCTGAATATATCTCTTTGATGACCAAGTATTAGTCATCAGTCACTAAAATTTTGGTTGTTGAATACCGACAAAAAAAAAAAATTCTTATTTTTCAACAACTAAAAAGGATAAGAGACAAAGTGCTTAAATATCGAGAATATGGACTTGTTGATTCATGTACTAATATCGAGAATATGGACTTGTTGATTTGAAATATCAAAAACAAGAAATGAAGAAATTGGAGAACTCCGATAATTTTCATAACAATCAACCAAAACGATAAGAGACAAAGTGCTTGAATATTACACCTAATAAATAAAAACCTTTCAACTTGCATAAGGATGTAAACGTCCTCACTTAACTAAAATGCAAGAAATAAACTAAAATAGGAAACACAATAACATAAAATAAGCGCATATTTCGAACTTGTTGGATTTGGGCCTGGTGCTTCACTATTCATGGACTCCAATCCTTTTTGTTGGGCTGGTTTTTTACTTGGGCCACTTGTGTATGATTTCGGGTTCTGATCAATTATTACTAGAGAAAATTACCCCAAACCCTACATTTCAAAATTCATATTCAAAAATGAGGTGATAAGTTTAATCTTTCGAAAATCAGGTGTTTTATATATTATTAATTCAATTAATTCAGAAATCAAGCCGAC